GAGAGGCGGTAAGAGGTGATTCATTTTCACGTACGCGTCTCCATCCCATTCACTCCGAGTTAGCCGGTTGTTTTTCCATTAGCAGAAAGCTCATTTATCTCTTGTGATTGTAAAGGCATACATGTGTAACAATAAAATCTGTTGCAATCTGTAGAGTGTGATTATATATGTTTAATATTATGAGCGTATGTGTAGCCCAAAGGGTTGTTTCTCATAATGTAAGTTTGCAAGTTTGCAAGTTAGTGCCCCAATAGCGGGTAAGTTGCACTGTATGATAGAGAGAAGTGTGCAGAAGAAGTTGCAAGCATGTAAGATCATACTGCAATGCATATACAGCGTATGTGCATCTGCATCCATCTGTATCCTTAGTCTGGGGTTTAAAACAAGCGCGCTTCTTTGTGCACATGTATTGTATGATTGCAGATTAGAGCGCACACACATAAGCACACAGCACAGCCCGGCCAGCTGGGTCTGGAGACGTTAATGTTCAGTGGAGCTGTGAGTTTCTACATGAACTCAGTGAGACGCGCAGCATCGCCCCCTCTCTCCATATGGGACCCTCCTGCCTACTCGTAGCTAGAAACGCTGCAGGCCACAGTGGGATATTTTCAAACTGGATTTCTACTCCACATCCTCTATAGGATGACTCTCGAGTCTTAAAGCCAGTCATTTCTGTAGCTCGAAGAATAAAAGTCTGTTTTATTTATGAATAAATGTTTTCTCGCAGTGCACAGCACATGGAGAAAGCACAGACGACAAAAATGAGCTTACCGGATAAAAACAGATAGCACATTTATTAAAAAGAGAAACTACAAATTGTGGAAATAAACAGTTAGCTATGAAAATAAATCTAATCTGATTAAATAAAATATTTTTGACAGGTCGTGTGTGTGTGTGTCTCCTTACAGGATGAACGAGGAGCAGATTGCTACGGTGTGTCTGTCGGTGTTGAAGGCTCTGTCCTACCTGCACACGCAGGGCGTCATCCACCGTGACATTAAGAGCGACTCTATTCTCCTGACTAGCGATGGCAGAGTAAGTGCACGTGCATATTTCTATTCATCCATGCTCCTCTTGGGATGCTATCAAATTAGTCACTGCTTAAACAGTAATCCACTAAACCCCAGGTAATAATAACCTAAGCTGCTATTCTTTTTCACTGGTCACACACACACACAGTCATTCAACACTCACTGACCTCCATGGGTGCCTGTCCTGCCGCTTGTCAACAGCCAGTGCCAGAAACTCATCATCATCCATTACTGCCGTGCCCTAGTAATTAAATCCTGCTTAATGCCTCCCAACGAGTTGATAAGACATGATTAACTGAAGCTTAATTAAGTGCTAATATATGGGATTAGTGTCTTCTGACAAAGCTCTTGATCACAAGAGGTCAGTGCACTTCTGAACTGATATATTCTATTCTGTATGCCCACCAACCTGCTTAGTAGAGACTGGAACCATGTACTGTATATGTGTGTGTTTACAGATCAAGCTATCAGATTTTGGCTTTTGTGCCCAAGTTTCCAAAGAGGTACCCAAGAGGAAGTCCCTCGTGGGCACACCCTACTGGATGGCACCAGAGGTCATCTCAAGATTACCTTACGGGACTGAGGTGAGGACACATGCACAGAAATACAGAAAGGAGTTCAGGAGCATTTCCCTGTATATGTTATGCATGTATGTTTACTGTCCTGGCTGAATAGACTGAATGTTTTTGCGCGTGTTCAGGTGGACATCTGGTCTTTAGGCATTATGGTGATTGAGATGGTGGACGGAGAGCCCCCTTACTTCAATGAGCCCCCTCTGCAGGCCATGAGAAGGATACGAGACAACCTGCCCCCACGGCTAAAGGAGTCCCATAAGGTAAGAAAAGTCGAAGGCGAGTTCTCAATAAGTAAACGCATCAGACTTTGGCTAACAGCAGAAGAAAATGTTCTTAGAGCTGTCAACTGTTTAGCTGTAACAACGCATCTCTGTGTGACAGCTCACCAGTCACACCTCAGGTGCAGAGAAGTGCAAGGTAACGTTTATGAACTTATATTACGAAAGTACTGCAACTCCTTTATTTTTGAGACACGTGGATCCTGTAAATATTCATATGAAGCTACGGGTATTTAATTAAATTAAGAGGAAAGACTTCTACAAACAGCTGTAAGCAACAGACCAAATTTTCAATTCATGTTAATGTGTTTTTTCTAACCCAAATTGCATTTACATGAGTATCATTACTCATTACATAACCTAAGACTGGTCTGTGTCTATGTATGAGTATGTAATAATGGATACACCAGAAATATGGCAGTTGTCATATCTGAGCAAAATGGGAATTTCAGTAGTTTTAATCATAAACCAAAGTACTGAACTGTTAAGATTTTGGGTAGATCGTAGTGCTAATTCAAAGTAAAGTGAACACCAAAGCCATTACAATTCATTCTAATGGGGACAGAATTTGGTGAGCGGTTGCTGGAAATTGTTGGCAATTGCTAGTGTGAAATTAGCCCCAAAGATGTAGTGCACCAAAAACCTCCTTGGCATTGCTTTGGTTTCTAGCAGGTTGCTGTGGTTGCTTGTGCTTTGCATGGCAAGCGCTCCTCACCAAGTGGTGACGAAACTTGAAGTGCAGTCGAAACTGGAAATGCGTTCGCCTTAAAATAAAAGTTTCCCGTTTTGAAAGGTGTTGATTGCAGTGGTACAACCTGTTCTCGTGGCAGTGCGTTGCAGGCTTTAATCTAATGACTCGTGTTGGTGTTTGTCCCTCGAAATGTCCTTAAAGACGGTTTTATATCAGTCGACACTCACGTGTACCAATTAAAAAACTCAATAATCTGCATTTGGAAGGTCGTGAACAAGTAAGTTGTGTTGCCTTTCAGGCGAGGGACCCAAGTTTGAGTCATACGTGTCAATTCTTTTTACACTTCATTTGTATAATATTCATGCATGTAATTCATCTAGCAGCTTTTAAAAACAAAAAGAAGCTCAGGAAGCTACCAAAATATCTTGGTTTCCATGGTGATGCCTCGCTGTTTTCTACAAAACGTACATGCTTCTGACACTATGTTTCCTATTGAAATATATTACTAAAACATTCATGTTCCCTGATACAAAAAAAACAAAACATATTAGTTTGTTCCCACGAACACAAAAAAAACAGGTGACCACAGGAATACCAACAAATACAAGGTTGTTTTTTTGTGTCACAGCCTCTTTGTGACAGACAAGGCAAAAACACGACAACCAATCAGGGAAGACACATTTAATAACTAGCAATTGGAGGTTGCCAGTGGTTGCTGACTGGTCTAATGTCATGTGTGACTGACCTAAATGTTCCCAAAGTTGATGAAGAGATCAACATCTGTGTTGTCACTAAAAGTGTGTGTGTGTTAATTTTACTGCTGTTTTTTTTGGCTATGTTATACTCAAACCTAGCTAAGCAGATGAATTCAAACATTTGCTCACATCTCCAGGTGTCAACCGTGTTACGCTCCTTCCTGGACCTGATGCTGGTGAGGGAACCGTCCCAGAGAGCCACAGCGCAGGAGCTCCTCCAGCACCCCTTCCTAAAGCTCTCGGGACCCCCTTCCTGTATCGTTCCCCTCATGAGACACTACCGCCATCGCTGACCTGCTGACTCAAACCCCAGCCCTCTCCTCCACTAAAAACATTCACATAAACACACTACCAGGGTGGCACTGCCCTCACCCAGCCAAAACACCCCACTGCTTGGTGGTGTGCCACCAACTTTCACACCTGTAACCGTGAAGTAGATTAGCTAGAGGAATATCTAAGACATACATTAATAAAAAAAATTAAAAAACACAAGACAAAGCAAAGAAGAAAAAAACTATTGAAACCATGAACTGGAGTAGAAGAGCGTAATGTGCCAGAGGAAACTCTAGACATCCAGTAAACTACGCAGACTGCCTCGCCCTGCTGCAGTCTTCTTTCTTCCCAGACTGTAAGTCTTCAGCGCCATGTAGACTTGTTGTAGCCATCCAGAGCTTCTCAGAGGGGGTGTGGCAACATGGAAGGACCCAAAGCGACCAGCGTGCTGCTCCAGACCCGAGCAGCAGAGGGCAGAACAATCAGTGTGAAGAGAGAGCGGGTTTTTGACTGGTCACGACTGTTTACCGCGTTGTCGGTTCATCATAAGGAGCGCAGGCTGCTGCTCAGAGACGAGCTCTCTCGCATCTCTTGTCACACACTAACAGTGAAAATGTATTTTAGAGAAACCTGTAAGTTTTTCTGTACAGTTTTGATAACTTGCAGTATTTTATCGTGTCGTAACCATTGTGATATGAGCGGTATTAAATAGAGTTTCTGCAGAGATCTTTCCTACTGTTTATAATCCGATTTTTGCTTAAAGATATAAGAGATATCCCAAATAAACCCACCTAAAACCTGTTACTAAAAAAAATACTAAATATATTTATTATCTTACATTTGTAGACAGAACTTCCATTAAATGTTGGGAAAAAAGGGTAATGTCAGAATTTTGTATGACATTTTCAAATATTTATTTATTTATTGGAACTGAAGGTATATTTTTTTGGTAGTGTGGCCTTTTTTTGTTTGCTTTTTGCTTTTTTGTTTTTTTTTGTTAGGTTTTGACTTCGATTTCTAAGAGCGCATTTGGCAGACAGTCGGTTTATCATCCAAGCAATACCCCAGACCTGCTGTATTTATGAATCCATGGCGCCCTGTATTTATGATACTGTAACGACATCATGCATTTAAATGTAGCACAGACTGAGTGGATTTGAGAAAGGAAAGAAAAAAAAACTAACTTCACGCAGACTTGTTTTTTTTATATATATTAGCAGTCTCACTGTGTTTCTTTCTTAATGCCAAAGAGGCGCCTGTCCAAGACGCCTCCCTACCGCACAGAGTTGATAAAAGGTTTTCTGCTCACATCCTCGCTGTCATCATCTCACTCCTTATCCCACCTCAGTCAGTCAGACACACACACTCGCTATCACCGGAGCTTTGCTGCCATTCTCATCTCTAGTTTGGACCAGGAGAACAGTGTTATCCCCTTCCCTGTTTTTACCCATCATTCACTGTGATATGTAAATATGACTGTGTGTACGTGAGCTTGTGCGTCTGCGTATGTCAAAGAGCAAAAGAGGTGGAGAGGTGTTTATCTCTACAGCATCTGAAAGTGTATGCGTGTATGCGTGTGTGTGTGTGTGTTTGTGCGTGCGCTGCTGGCTAAGCCTTGACAGTGAGTCAAGATTTGAATGAGTAAACACTTATCTGTGGTGTTGGCTTGTATAGTGATATTGCATGTTTGTTATCAGTGAAGCTGGTTTCAATTAAAAAAAACAAAAAAACACCCATAAAAACATCAAGATGTGTTGCATGGATTTTTCCTTCATCACCTTATTATGCAGTCGTCTCTTCTTCTTTTGTTTTTGTAACAGCACACTGTCAGAATATCCTAAAGAGGTCTTTTCAATCATCAACAGTTTATTTTCTCTTTGTTGTTTTTGGGTTCTCATTTCCAACAATTTCACCTGTATTTCACCTCCGAACACAGAAGCAAAAAAAGACACATTCATGGATCGGTGTTGCCATAATATATTAGGTTATTTCTCTTTCTTCCCTCTAAGCCATTTCCCTCTGAAACACCATAATGGGATATTGATTTAGCTCGGACAGAGAATGGAGCTTCTTTCTCACAGGAAGATCGACAGTGGTCTAGTAAATAAAAACACAGCTACTGGGGCCACTGAGAGTATCAGTGAGGATGACACCAGCTTGTAGAGTCAATGTTTGAGTTAGTGGAAAACACTCATCTGTTCCAAACACAACAAGTACACATAACTCCTAATTATGAATTTGCACCTTCAAACTTTTGTGTGTGAGTGTGCGTTTGTTTGTTAGTTTTCTAAACAACCTTTGGGAGGTATTTGAAATAGTTTGTGTCTTTAAATGGAATGATTTGTAATGAAGCAATAAAAAACAGATTATCTAAATGTGTTTATATACCATAACAGGCCTGCCAAAGTTGTTAGACCACCTTTGGGCTAGTTCCTGCTGCTGTAGGGTCTCAAGGATTGACACACACACACACATGCAGCTCTTATTGGGATATTTTTGTTTTATGTTTTTTTTTAATATATATATATATTATTAGAAGATTTAAAATCTTTTGATTCATTACTTAGAATTTTTTAAATAATATTCTGAAAACAATAATGTACATGTATCTATCTAAAGCTCATAAAGGAGAGGCAGAGATTTGCACTGGTTTCTGTAATGTACTGTCCTCCCTGCATTCAGTGTTGTTGTAGGCTAATAAGGTCACGGCCTCAGGTGTAGTGCATGCAGGTTACCTGGTGTTGCTCACTGGGCTGGATATGAACTAAACCTTTTTTAACAGCTATGATGACATCTCCTTATGACGCCCGAACAAGTAAAACTAAAGGGATATGCCCAAATCAAGGATTTTTTTTAGGCCTTTTTCACGCGTGAGACTTGTCTGTAGCTAATGAAAACTGAAGAAAATGGCAGCTTGCCGACCTTCGACAGTAAAAGTCCAACTGGAAAACTTGGAATTTCCTCCAGAATAAAAGAAGACAGGCGGAAGATCGTGGCTGCAGTTTTTGAGAGTCTGTGAAGCTCAGCAACAGGTGAGTTTTCCTTAGTTGTTGTTAGCATGTAGCTTTGTAGCAGATGCTAACTTTTTAGAAGCGTCAAAAGCTAATTGAAAATATGTATGTCAAAGTAGGGCATCCCTATCTGTGTTAACAAGCACAGATATCCTGCTTTGTGTTACCCGTCATGTAGTGGTTGAATTTAAAAAGCTTATTCGAGGTTAAACAGGGTAAAGTTTCTGTCTATGTGATGCTCTTTTGTACAGTATGTTAAGTTCAGGTTGCTAATGCTAACACTTAACGTAGCCGCACAATCATGGCACCTCTTTGTAGGCCTACGGGGGATTTAAGGTTAATGTTTTAATAAATGCATAAATAAATACATCCAAACATCTATGATTTTTTAATTAAAAGTATATGCTTCGATTGCTATTTGTTACAATATAGATCTCTTTGTCAACTTACTTTTTTCAGTAAGTTATTCTAACATGAAGACAAGTAAAACAATGTAACATATAAAACAATGTAACAGATGTCTTGAGCTACACCTGGCTTCTTTATATTTTCCTTGAAAAATTAGAAATATTGAAATGAAAACATAAATTAACTTTCTTAGGTAGCTTTCTTTTGCTGTCTTTCAGCAGTCTTTAACAATAGTTCTCCGGGTCTCTTGTTCTGTTCTCTCAGGATGACCCCACACTGCTTCAGTAATGTCAGGGTGCAGTTCTGTAGAGAGGCCAGTCCATGACTGATATTGTTCCACTGTGTGTGTTTTTTATTCAGGTATTGCTTTTACTGCACTGAATGAAAATGAAGCTATTGCCAGTAGCAGTCAGGTACAAGGACTGGACTGAATGGGATTAAAAAAGCAGCAAAAGCCCAAAGAAAACCTTTGAAAGATCTTCCTGCTATTGCTCAAGATCACTTTGATTATCAATTAAATCTACAGTGCTTAACAAAATTATTTGACAACCTATCATAAAAACAAAGAAAACAACAACATATTTTCCTAATCAAAAACTTTTCTTTTTCTTTTTTTTATTTATTAGGCAAATAACAAACAAAATTCATATTTTATACCCAAATTTGAGCTGGCACACTGGACTCCAGTATACCATTAAACCAATGGCATCTCCATCAAACATGTTAATATACTTTACTATTTTTTTTCTTCATTTTTGGAAAACCAACAATTTATAAATTCACAGATAACAACAATAATTGTATTTTGGCATTATTTACACACACACACACACACACACATACATATATATATATATATATATATATATACACACACACACACGTGTGTGTGTGGTGTGAAAATTGACTTTGAAAGTTTAGTAAGTTAAAACAATACATTTCAAATGTCAAAGGAGCTCACAAATTTTAAGTTAATAACATTTTTGAGTGAAATTAAGCTGACACACAGCTTTATACTTTTAATAAATTTGAGGATTTAAGTTTCCAGTGGTTAGTCTGATTGAGAGGACATCTACTTTGATGAGTTACAACTCAGGATGATGTATAACATCCATGCTGCTGAAACAAATCGGTGTAGAAGACACAAATGTCCTATTTATTTTCAATTAAACAAGGCCCAGTGTCAAAATCAATACCTCATCCCAGCAGCGTCTCCTCAGACGGGTGCATCAGTCAATTTTTCTCAGTCACCTTATTTCATTCATCCTTTATTTGTCTTATTCACCAAAAGATAGGAAATAAAATAGTGTTTTATTTTTTCATTAGAGCTGAAAGAATGAGACTTTGTGCTTTTAACGCTGTAGTAGATAATAGTGGAAGTAGTTTGACAAAGGAGTAGACGTGAGTCCAGCAGTTTATTTAGAACGAAACAGAAGAGTACGGCACAGGATTGCATCAGCAGAAGTTTATGCATAGAATTTGATTCTGAAAATAATTTACATATATTTATATTGTTTTTTTTTCCCTTTAGTAACCTCATTTTCATAAACACACATCTCATCATTCAGTGAAATTCCTCACTGTTTAGTACATAGTTTGTGTCAGATGGATGCATTTCTTTCTGCCTCTTGATATGTTCTGTACGTCGGTGCGGAGATCAGATTTGCTGAAGTCAAAGCAAAAACTTTGAATGCCACTGTACTGCACACTACAAGACTGTCAACACTATGGTTGCATTCAAAATGTAATAATAAGAGGATTGGCTAAAAAAAAATATATGAAGGTAAGCTTATACAGAACCAACAGGAGAGAACAGAAATAATTTATCAGCCATTCTGGAAAGAGAAAGAGAGAAGAAGGTGGAAAGACAGCAGAAGCAGAAGTTTCAGACATTTCTTTCAAAGACAAGTTGAATAAGATTAGGCAGAAGTGACCAACTATGATCCAGTGACGCGATGAATTTAAAAAAACAAACATACTATAACTTAGAGAGGTCTGAATAAAATTTGTTATTTTCATAAAAGCTTTACTTTTTTTTCTTATTTTAATTAAAACGCTAAGCAGACTCTAGACCAAGATTTAATTCAGTAGCCGGTGAAATTATTGGGGTTTTTTTGGTGGGTTTACACTCCCAACTAAATCCATGACAGCTCCCCCCTCCCCAAACTGTCCCATTAATTTATGTTTCAGCTTTTCAAAAGTTCTTGTGGGCAGTACATGCTACACATTTATCAATCGAGGATTCAGCCGAGTGCGGGGGTCACGATTCTCTGTGGTATTAGAGGCCTGGAACAACAAGGAGACAAAGTCTGTCATCAGGTTAGCTTCGGAGAGAGCCGAGGGGAGCCGCTGCTGTGCCGGTTCACTACATGTTCTTGTACATGGAGCGATCTCGGGGGAGCTGGGGCTGAGCCGCTGTCAGCTTGAGGTGAAAGTGGTAGATTGTGAGTATGATGACGATTATTAGGCCCAGAATGAGGCCCAAGATAAGGGGGAGGGTCTCCTCCAGGCGCTCCCGCTGGTCTGTGATGCATTTGTAGGCTGCAGAAAGTAGAATGATACACCAAGTCAGTATGAGAAGGTGATCGAACGTGACTTACAAAGGGCAAAGATGGTGTGTAGATTATTTCAGAACTTATTTGTATGCATGCTGGATGATATTTTTTTTATACCTGTACTATATTGTTATACATAATATCAGGGTATTCTTTTATTCTATTCAGATTTAAGGCTGAACTTCATTTAGTTGTGTGAGTTATGTACTTTTCAATGACAATAAATTGAATCCAGTCTAATCAGATGATTGTTTTCTTGATGAACTGAGTTTATTGTCTGGAAAGATTAAATTACCAGAAAAGACTGAGACTTGAACCAGTCAACTTATTAGCATTTTTGCTTAGAGGTGACTCAGAGCTGTTTGATTTTCTGTCGTCACTTAGATAACTTTGGATGTTCTTGAAACATCTACTTGTTGACATGAAGGAGACACACGTGGCATCTCACAAGTTTAGTCAAGCATCTCTGTTCTCTGGATTTTTTTTCTCGGGGTGGCTGTAGCTCAGAAGGAAGAGCAGGCCATCTATTTATTGGAAGGTTGCTGGTTCAATGCCTGGCTGTGTTCATCAGGTTTGTTCTACTTATGTGCAACGCAAGGTAGAATTCTAATATTTCAACAAAATTAACCATTTTGTTTTTTGTTGTTGTTCTTTTTTTTTTGCACAATTGTTGTGATGATCTCAGCAATAAGTCATATCTCTTTTAGTTAGACTTTTTTTTTCTCTTTTGTGTATTTTATAGTTTCGTACACTGGTGTTTGTGGGAGTGGGATA